ATATATATAATATAACTTAAAATAATAATATATAAAAAATTATATATGTAATATAATTATAAATAATAATATATAAGAAATTATGCATATACATATATAATATATAACTAATAATACATAACGAATTATATTAATTAATTATATATATATATATATATATATATAATGGGTTGGGTTTACGTGAGACCAAAAGTTTTTCGTGAGACCCGTGAGACCAATTTATCAAACTAATGATCTAATTGTTTAAAATTGCATGGTGGCAATTTTGTAATTATTGAGAAGTTTCGTTGCAATTTTATGATAATGAATGTTGAGATTGTAGATCTAATCCAAAAATTGAGAATTGGTCTTACAGATCTCACGAAAAAGTCTTGGTCTCATAAGATCTCAAGTCTATATATAATTATAGGATATATGTATATATATATATATATATATATATATATTAATGTATAAAATAATAATAATAATAATAATAATAATAAAATATATATATATATATATATATATATATTATTTGATTGATTTGATATTTTATGATTTGAATGAGGGTTCAATTTTCAAAGTGTTTGACAACCCTATTAAGTGGGTGCCATTAGCACTCCCCTTATTTTTCAATCCTATAAATTGAATCTTATAAAGCAGTCTATTAAGACGTTTTTAAATTGGTGGCGTCTTATAAATCCAATTTTGTTGTAGTCAATTATGTCTCTTAAAAAATATTAATTGACTTACAGGATCAACTTCTTCCACATCTCCCGTGAATGATGAACCGTCACAGTATCTCATGATGACTCTATTCCAATTATAAAAGACTGCAAGTAAAACACTTTATACATAAATACAACAATATATCGAGGAGCTTAATTAATACTGATTATGTACGCTTATTAATTTTGAAATGAAGTAAGTTTTCGGGTTGTACTTGGATTTTGTTCTTTTTCGTTGCTCAAAATGCCGGTGAAATTCAACGGTGTCATCAACTTGGATGATCCCAATCCATAGATCAACGTCTTCCTGGAAACACAATCCTGTACCGAGTTGCACCATCCTCCTCCCTGATACAACGTTTTCGGTTGGCATTAATTAACCAATTCATTTAATCATCATCATTAACTAATCGTCTTTTTTGAAAACAAAACTTTTATCATTCATTTGTGAATACACCGATACGTCAATAGACATCGGTTCTTTCTAAGTTTAGAACTTTCCATTATTAGAAATAGAAAGTCTAGGCTAAATGAACAAACACACACAAAAATGAGAAGGACCATAATTAACCAACCTGTATATGAACCAACCAGTTGCTAACACCATCTCCAAATCCTTTAGCAAGCTGGTATGCTGGTGGGCTTCCATCCAAACAAACTGCACCTCCAAACACAACCCATATTATGTTTTCCGTCCTTTGTGTTTTCGAAACTACAGTTTCCGTCACATTTACAGTTCATTTTTTTTGTTCCTATATTCATTTTCGATGTCGTCCCTCGTACTTAATGGTAAACGATTGACGAAATTAGCCTCGTGGAATGAAAACAACAATGAATTGCAATTCATACAGACTAAAACCGTAATTTTCAAAAGCACAAGGACGAAAGTAATAACTTTTAACAAACCACGGGGACGGAAACCGTAGCTAAAACTTGTAACTTTCTATCATTAGAAATATCAAATAAAAAACGTAAATCAACAAGTACCTGCTCCTTTGGCAATACCACTCTGAATGATGGTTATCCCCACCTCTTCCAACCCTTCTGTTTTTAGAAACATCATGATGCACATTATTACTGTGCATTTGACCCACTCATTTGATCTTACATTAATCATTCTTCCCTATTTTAGTAACAAAAACCCACAAAGATTTCAGGTTAGAAATAGTGTAAGCTGCGATAGACATTTACACACACACAATCCAGTTAGAAAATTTTCTGTTTGATAACACCATTTGACTATAAAAATAAAACGGTGGCACAAAAGTGTACAAAACCTTGAAACGGCAGCCCGTGCCACCTATGGGCGTATGTAGGTCCGCCCCTACACACATCTATGTATAAATGATTAAATAGGGGGAAGAAAAGGTTTCGTTAAAGCTTGTGTTACGGTATCTCTAAAATATATTCGCCCCCACGGGTAAAGTGGTGTCTGTTTAGCACCGTCTAGAAGTACCTTCGATGTAGCCTCTATCACAGTAAATAATGTGGTGTGGTTGTGTGCTTTGATAAAAAAACGAAGCTAACCTTTTATATTGCAAATTTTGATAAAGTAAATTACATAAATATAAATAGCACCTAATTACAAACCATTTATTATATTCATAACTCATTATATTTATGGAAATTATAAAAACGTTACAACTTATAATTATTATTTTTAATTTCCATAAGTGCAAATAATTATGAATTCAATATCTAGGAAAACTGAGAATTACGAAATAAATTACTTTGCAATTCGTAATTAGGGGGTGTTTGGGATTACTTATAAAAACAACTTATTGACTTATTCTGGTGTGGCACCAGTAATAAGCACTTTTGAGTGTTTGGATAAAAAGTTTATATCGGTGTCAAACCGATAATAAGAAGTGTTTAAATAAGTTAAATCATTCTAACTTATAAGAAGCTGATAAGGACTTATGTGGAAAAGTATAAGTTGTTTCAAATAAGCAATCGCAAACACCCCCTTAGTTTAGCAAATCTATTAAAACTAGTGTTTGACATTGCGCGTTGCGCGATGACGATAAAAATTTTAAAAATTTATTGAAGTTAGCTAAATGAGTCGATGCTCACATTTATATATTAAACTGATAAGAATCAATATTATCTTTAATATATGAATCTAACTTATCATTATTAGTTGTTCTTTTAATATATATATATATATAGGGTATATTTCTTTTACAACCTTGTGCATTTGTACAACCTTTGCAACCCAATTAATTGAGATATTTATAGAAATGATTGGAGTTCATTTATTATGRTTTGAATATTTATGGAATATGAATAGAGTTTATTAATTATGATTAATACTTTATATTAGGAAACAATTAATTGATTAAAAATTGAATGGTTGAGATGAGGGTTGTATAGGGTGTAGGAATGGCAAAGGGTGTAGAATAACATCCCTCTATATATATAATTAATAAGTCTTATATATCAATCTTTTACTATATCAAACTTTGTAATTGGTTTAAAATCATTAAAAAAAATATGTAAAAATATTGATTATAATCATGAGGTGTATTAAGAGAATTATTTTATTATAATACATATCAATTTATCTTCTACATATATTCTCATAAAATATTTATATTCACCAAACAAATATTGTGTTGTTAATTACATTGATATAATTGTTGAATATTTTTTGCAATTTGCTTATGTTAGTTCATGATATACTCATTTGCATCATTGGTCAAAAACATCATTGAAACCTCTTTTTTTCTACATGTGATTGCATAAAATGACAATAATAGCTAGTATTATGACCATTCTAGATATATAAAAGTCTTATTGATTTGTTATTTTTTTCATTTGACTTGTTCAAACTTTTTAGTTTTGTTTTAGACAGTTCATAGTTTGGTTTCTCTATAAAAAAAACTCTGAAAATAAAGGTTTTAATAAAATTGTGTAAAATAAAAGATATATATTATATTGATTCAGTGTTAATTATATGTAGAGTTTGATTTTAGTTTAAATAAAAAATTGATTTAAATATATATATGTATATATATAAACTATAATTTTTCTCTATCTTTTATATGTATTACTGCATTGATTGTAATAAATTTTTAGTTTTATATTGATTCTAATTTTAATTTTATATATTGATTGTCATAACTTTCTATTTTACATATTATAATGGGGGGTGCTAATGGCACCCCTTATAGGGGGGTGTTGAATGTATTGGAAATTGAAATGAGTTTGAAATTCAGAAAACATCAAATCAATTTTAAAAATATATTATATTTAATTATTATTAGTATTTAATATATATATATATATATCAATTAATTAAGTTATATTATATAATTATATATATAAT